TTAGGTTAGGTTTTCCTTTCCTATCTTCCGCAACAATCTTTTGTTTTTCTGTGTGTATTAATTCTTGATATAAATCAATAAGAATTAAAAAGTTGAAAAAATCTGTGTAATTGTATTCAACCCCCCCTTCTACAATTACTTTCTGTTTATTGCCTTACCCTTCGGGACTAACAAATATATATATTTTTAAATAAATTCCCATGGATTTCCTATGCAATATAACTTTTTATTAGAAGATTACAATCCGTCAGAATTTTTTTTAAACATATTTTTTTGAAAGGGAAAAAAATAAAACAAAGTTTTCTTAAACATTTTCGACGGAGTATAATTAAATAAAAAATCAATTAAAATCCGTCGTATATTTTAATTAATTAACACTAATTAATTTATTTAAATAAATTAGACCAATTTGTGACGGATTTCCGACGGATTTGTGACGATATTAAATAAGTAAAAAATCCGTTACAAATCCGTCGGGAAATTTTATTTTATTTTTAAATTCAGTGACGGATTTGTGGTGGACGTCGACAAAAATTAACTTTTCATGATTATATAGATCTCTGAAGTATGAAGAGTTTTACTTCAGAGTTATTTCAAGAGTACAAGTCTAAGTCTGAAGTCATTCTTCAGAGTTATACTTAATAGTTAATTTAAGAGTACAAGTCTGAAGAGTCGTTCTAAATTTACTGCTAAATTTAAATTCAATTTACTGATATAGTTTCATTTCTAAATTTAATTTTATTCTAAAGTTAACTTAATTTTAACTAATTATTGATATATTTTCATTTTTAAACTCAAGTCTAAAAAGTCATTTTTCAGAGTTATTCTTCAGAATCATTTCAAGAGTACAAGTCTGAAGTAACATTATACTTTCGATGATTATCCATATCTGTAAGATAAGTTTTTGACATGATTTAATTTTTCCAAATTACCATGTGTAATACACGGGATCAAACCTAGTATGTATATGTATATGTATATGTGTATATATATATATATATATATATATATATATATATATATATACACTAGAAGTGTACTCGTGCAATGCAACGAGATACATCGTGATTTTAATATTTCATTTTATTCTTTATCTCAGTCGATGTTATAATATGACTTTATGTGATTTTGAGAAAGCGATG